AAAACACGCTGAAGTAATGTGAAAATTATTGTTTAATGTAATAAATATTGTTTACATTATTTAGTATATTTTATACTAAAAATAAATGCGATAAAATAATTTTATATTATTACATTGAGCAATACTTAATTGCAATTACATATCAATAATAATTAAAATAATCGCGCAATCTTTTAGACATTAAAAGCTAAATAAGTTTTGCAATAGAAGTTCACTAAATATCTTAAAATATATGTAGTATTACTTTATCAGATTGATTACCATAAAGAATATTCTAGTTATTTTCATTCTTTTGTAATCAATGTGATATATAAAGGCCAGTTTATTAACCAGGCAAGCTTAATAACATTTAATACTATACTCTAACAATGTTTGACTTATACGACACAACTATCAATGAACTATGGCAAATATATTACATTGTGTTAATTATCTTAATTAATGCTTTTTATACATTTTGTACAATAAAAAGCATAATTCATGAAATTAAATTCTTTTAAATTCTGCACATGTATATTAATTATATGTATAATATTGTAATTATTATTTAAACTATTATATTAATTTGTAATATGAATTAAATAAATTTGTATTTTAATAACTATTAAATAACATTGCTTATTAATTATTTATTAATTAAATTTTAACAATGTTAGTTTTTTACAATGCGTAATCTCCCCTTGCATTAGTCCAATATAAATATAATTATATTTATTACATAATTAATTTTAGAATTAAATAAATCTATGATGAACATTCTTTGACATCTCAGTGCATCCAGATTAGTTTACATTATAAGTACTATATTATACAATTACAATTTTAGTTAAAATAAATAATTTATTAATTCAGCAAGCATGTTTTTTAAAAACAAATAATCAATTATAATACTGACTATTTTAAAACAGTTTAAAATAAACACAATTTTTGAAATTATAGTAGTTTTTATGGTATAATTCGCATTGAACCAATGCTAATCAATGAGGCAAAGTATCGTATACACTCTTTAGTATATCTAATGACACATACATACTGTATTATTTTATTCATCTTGCCTATTTTAATCCAATTTTTAGCACAACTCAATTTACAAATAAAATGTTAATTATTTCATTGGATTATAATATAAACACATACTGTTAACGATGAAACTAATCTTGATAGATATTAAGACACTATATTAAAATATTAAAACATTATAAATATATTGTATTATATAACAGGAATTATATATTCTGCATAGAAATATTTGCAATATTTTTGCATCATTCATAGGATGTATAAATTATTGTATTAAATAAAGTAAATATATAATCTAGTGTGTTATTATAATTTGTTTAACAGATGTCGGTTTAATTAAATAAAAGGGAAATTTACAAATAATTTAAAGTTTAATATCAAAATATTTTATTTTAATTACTTAAATGTGTTTTAAAAATATTTTTAGAAAAAGAGAGAGTGAGGGTTAGTAACAAAAACATTTTTAATCTATGTCCTCTATAAAGGACATTAACTTTATAATGCAATCATGTTTTATTTATAATTAAAAATGAATTTTATAAAAAGCTATAGCAATTAACAGATAAAACAGACTTATGTAATGTATAACTAATATTATAGTTAATAAAATGATCACGATTTAACCATCAAAATTATTTCTATAGACTAAATAAGGTGGAAAATTTTTTATCATAACAAATTTTAAAAATTGTTTTTATAGATTAGAACAATACGCTAAATGTAATGTGAAAATTATTGTTTAATATAATAAATATTATTTAAATTATTTAGTATATTTTATACTGAAAATAAATGCAATAAAATAATTTTATATTATAAAATTAGCAATACTTAATTGCAATTAAATATCAATAATAATTAAAACAATCTTGCAATTTTTAATACATAAATTATAAACATCCACAAGGTTATTTGCTAATTATTAACAAACCTGATATACTGTATAAGGTGAATAACTCAATAATTATTATATAACTGACCTTCACATTCACTGTTTGGCAAAGACTGAATGTCGAATTGTATCAGACTTTTTATTCCATGGGTTTGTTGCAAAGCACTTATTTTGATTGTATTTTAAATTCATTATAATAACTAAAAAGTTTTAATAAATAGTAATAATTTTATTAAGTTTGCAAAAATTTGTTAATTTATCAAATTGTTACAATAATTTTTGTCATAAAGTTGTTCGCTTGTCTAATTATTATTGATCTGTACAATTCTTATTAGGTGTAAGAATACAGCAATGGATCTTGATGTAAAAATTTATGACGACACAAATAAATTGCAACTAAGAGATGGACTGACACTAATTGATAAAATCAAAGCATCGTCTAATAATAAGTAAAATTTTGTATTTGTTCATATATTTATCTAAATAAATTTTGATTGTTAAAAACATATATTCATATATATATGTAGTAGCATTTTTAATTAATAACATTACGTTATTTTAATTAAAACATCAGATCGTACGACATTGCGCTGGAAATAGGCTCCGGTTCAGGTAACTTGTCCGCAATATTCAAGCGAGAGTTAAATATTAGCACTTATATCGGGTGCGATGTAAACCCGGCTATGGTTGCCTACGCCAAACAAAACAACCAGGGTAATATCAATGATAATGATCCCGGTATTACCTATATCGTCAACGATTTTGGCCAACACTGGGACTCGTTGTGTCCGGATATCAAGCGCCTGGAGGGCCGCGTGAATCTCATTATATCCAACCACGTGTTGCATTGGATTAGCGATCGACGCCCGGCGGTCGCCAATAATATACGCCGTCTATTGGCGCCCGGCGGCCAGAGTCGGGCATATTTACAGTTTGTTGCGATTCCGGTTTATAAAGACGTAAATAAAACCACCACGTTCAAATACCTTAATAGTAAACTGGTTAAAATGGGCTTGCTTAGAGAGCTAGAGCCCGTAGAGACACAACGATCACGGTGGGAAGATGCATTCACGGCACATAATATGACCCCTATTGTGGACACTATTAATACTCTGAACACGACTTACACCAAATCGGAGTACTATTCGCGTACGTGAATAATCATACGTATTATTAGAATTAAGGTACTAATAATAATTCGTAATTCTAATAATACGGAAAATTTATTTTATTAATTAACACGTAATTTTAGTAATTTTAACTATTATCAACATTTTAATATAAGAAAATTTTGTTTAACGTTTTATAAATACCAGTTATTTTATATACTGTATTATGCAGTATGTTAGTTTGTTATAAATTATAATTGACAAATTATAACTTATGATAAAATACTTGTTTAACAACAATTCTATAAATTTGCAATTAAACATAGTTTAAATAATTACAGATGTTATACCACTTGGTATAAGCTACTATCTCAAGAGTGACAGTCGTATACTTAAACACGTGTTGCAAACAAGCGCCAGGTGGATTAAGAGTAAGCGAGTGAACACGCGCGTTGATGCGACCACGGGCGAAAAATTAATTGATTTTACTTACGAAAATTTTCTATTTGTTTTACGCGTTTAATTGTATAATTTATAACTCACGTTTAATGTGTATTGATTAATTATTACATGTTGTAAAATCATGTTAACACAAATATTTTTTATATGTTTTTTAATAAAAATATTGACAATTCTTATTTATATTAAAAATTATATCAATATTAAATACTGGGCCATAAGTGCTATTGTATTTTAACATTCTTTATATTCAATTAATTATTATTAATATGCATTAATATACTGTATCTTGTAACAGTATGTTGTAATATAATTTTTTATTTGTTTTATGCGTTTAATTGTAACTTACTTTTAATGTGTATTATAATTAATACTATCAAATAATTGTTACACCATTTATTCAAAATCATGTTAACACAAATAATTGTTATGTTTTTAAATAAACATTTTTATTTTTATTGCAAATTATATCAATACTAAATACGAAGCGAAGTTTGCTATTGTATTTTAGGGTAACATAATCTGTATTTAATTAATTATTATTTGTATTCATTTATATATGGTGTAACCAAATAATGAGGGAGGTATATTTGTTTTAATTAAGTGTATTAAGTTTGAATAGTTTACGTTAAAAATTTGTGCAAAATCATATGTAACATTTTATTTGTATTCGACACCATTCTCTCAATTACTTTTTTAATTACTCACTCGGTTTCACTCATTTGGTGACAATATTTATTTAACTGCTTAGAAATGTCTTATTTAAATAATTAAGTTACAGTTAAACATCTATGTTATCAACAAAACGGTTCCAGGGCATTTGGTTGACAGCATAGAGATTATTTTAACCTTATGTCTATATGGTGTGTATTTGGGTTTTGAGATTTTGTAGATAAAAAAGAGAAGTTGACAGCATAGAAGGTTGATATTTGATTGTAACATTATATTAAATACACCAAAATTAATGTCCAGATGAAAACTTATTATAGTAATCAATGTTCTTTTATGCATATTTCACAAATTCATTGCACAGAACGCAGTAAAAATAGTAAATCAAAATAATTTATTATACTTTTTAATTATTATTTATTTAATCTCTAATTTTTTTAAACTTACAAATTATTACAATTTTTTAAAATTAATTTCATCATTTTAATAAAAGTGGTGTTCATTTATTTAGTACATATTTTAACATTTTGTTAAAATTATTTTTAAAACTGCAATCCATTTCTTATAATAATCATTTAAATGTTGATTGTGTATAATTTTTAAAAAAAATATCTGCTTTAATTGTAAAACACAGTATAAATTATTATATTAATATTCATATATTAAAGTTGTGTTCTAGATGTAGTGTATGGGCTCAGCTTTTTATAGCATTCATCACCCCTTAAACAGTATCAAAAATAGCCAATAATTTAATAATATTTAATAAACACAATATTTTTGAATAGTAAAATTTTTAATAAAATAAATCAGATCAAATATAAAGCAGTTCAAAAATATTCTAACAGATATTTTTATTTAAGTGCCTGGTAGACCTTATCGAGAATAGCGTTAGTAATTGTGGTTAGAGGCGATGGTTGTTCAATATTTTCTACGCAAATTGTTCCCGTTGCAGCCTGGTGATTATATAAATATTAAGTTTTTCAATATAATTTTCAAAAATGAATCAATTTAAAGTATATTTATGATAAACATTGTATGCATACTTGTTTATATTCCGGTGCGTTTGTGCCCAAAGCTAGTTGTATAGCGTCCTGGTAATTGGCCGGCGCGCCCACAACTGATTGCTTAATAATTATCAATTTGCCGCTAATTTGTGCCCATTTCTCGGCCACCGATGCGCTCAATGTTTGCGATATGGGTCGCCGTTTGTGGACTCTATGCTCAAAAAACATGCGAATCCGGGCCAACATCACGCCAAACACATGAGCCATATCGGGCGCCACCACACGCTCATGGGTGAGCTCATGCATGTGCGCCATTACTATAACAATCTTAGCCTTTAAGTCGGGTTCGGCGCGCACGCGGCCTAAAATGGCGTTCATCACCGCAATGGGCGCGTCGGTCGCCAACTGACTCAGCATACACTCTATGACAAAGTCGTCCATAATTTGTTCGCCAAAATTTAAAAGCCCGTCGGGCTCTACGATTACCACTCGGTCGGCGGTCGGCGCACCGGCCACATGCCCGGCACTCATCATAATTTCAACGCAAGCGGGCGTTATGTCAAAATAGCCGACTAAATCGTAACGTCCGCAGCTGCCCGACTGCGCGCCCATTATCTCGCCAATTAGTTTCCGGTAATAGTCGGCCACCTCCGCAACGGTGGCCAATTGACTGCACTCGCGGGTCCAGTTCAGGCCGTACGCCGGCCGATCCAGACGCCGGCACAAGTCGTCCATTAAAGCGAAGCTCATGTTAAGTGTGGGCATAAAAAATACTGGATTCCGGCCGTCGCCGCCACCGGGCGCCCCATTTAGGCGCACATATTTCTCAGCTGGTATTACAAACAGGTGGCGCTGTACTGACGAGTGGGCGCTCTTACGCCCGATCAAGTACTGGCGCACGGGCTCCGGGTCGCCCTCGCCGTACGCCCGGCACATGCCTACTGTCAGGCCTTTGATGTGCGCGAGCGGCACATTCATGTCAAGTCGGTCTCTGAACTCGTTTTGCAATTGTATGGCGAACAGCGACTCGAGCCCTATCTCGCCCAGAGTGATTACATCGGGCGTTGTGTTTGGGTCGACGCCCATCACTGACCACAACTCACCCATCAATCGATTTCCAGTTTTATCGTTGGTTTGCGATGACATTTGCTTATCAAATAACTATTGAATATAAATTTATATTTATATAAAATATATTCATAAACATTAAAGGGCAATCAGGAAAGGGGGACGGCGACAGCCAATCACATAATATGATTGTGGTCCATGGTCATAAATTAAGATACATAATCTCTCTCTCTCTCACCTGCGAAGTGACGATAGCATTTGGAAGAGCTAAAAGTCGGTCCAACACATCGCACGCCGATATAATACGTTGTCTACGAGACAGTGTATGCAATTCGTAACCGTCATGGCCTTCAAACGCGCCCACATCGCCGATCATTCCGTACTGTACGGCCAACCCATGCACACCATCCCTACGCCGGCGTTCGCACAGCCGCTCGCACACAGAGTTGCCGTACGCGTAGTTTGAGACACCCGTAAACCCGTTGCCACACGATTGCGACGAAAACACCACAAAATAGTCCACTTTATAGTCTAACCCACGGGTGAGTTGATCCAGATTTTCAAACACCCGTTGCTTTGTGTCGACCGTTTCGGCGAATTTCTCTATCGGCATATTTTCAAACAAATTCTCGTTCAATACGAGCGCCAAATGAAATACCCCTCCAATGGGTCCCAACTCCTGGGCTTCCCGGAGCAGCTGTTTTGTGCCCTCAATTGTCAACCCATTGGCCGTCGATATAATTATTTTCGACTCAAAATACCGAGTATTTGAATAAAATTCAAACATACGATTGATGAAAAACTTTTGATAATCAGTGGTGAGTCCGCGCCGGGAAGTGATGACAAACTTTCGGGCGCCCCTGTAGTGCATCCACGGCAACAATTCCAGACCAATTCCTCCCAAACCGCCGGTAATTATATACGTCTTTTTGGGGTTGAAATATGTTTTGACAGAAACTAATAGCGTCGGCGCGGGTTTGATGCGAACCAATGGCCGCTTATCCGACTCTTCGTCTCTGAATTGTACGATCACTTTACCGATGTGTTGACCGGTAGTCATATACCCGAACGCTTCGGTCGCTTTGGCGGCCGGGAATGACGTGTAATTCAACGGTCGGACGCAACACCGGTTGTTACCGTTGACGCCCATATCTGGAACCGAGTTTTCGCTAACCCACGCATAATAGTCGGGCAAAAACGTCGCGCTTCTCAACACAATGTCCAACGAGACGCCAATGTATTGAATGTCGCGCAAAAACTCAAACCGATCCAACGGCCTGTTTTGAACCAGGTCGTATTTGCCGAGCTCGATGAATCGGCCGGAGTCGGCGACACAATCGTAACTCATGTCCGACTTTTGTCCGGTCAGCGAATTGAGCACAATATCGACGCCCCGACCGCCGGTGCTCTTCATAACGGCGCCCAAAAATCGCGTGTCTCTTGAGCTGAATATGCGTTCGTCGGGAATGTTATACTTTTGGCGCAGATATTGGCGCTTCTCAGCCGTCCCGACCGTTACGTAGATATCGCACCCGTAGTGTTGGCACACATTTATGGCCGCCTGACCCACACCACCCGCGCCGGAGTGAATCAGCACACTCTCGCCTATTTATTAAGCGTGTGATCAAATAATCAATACTACATTTTATATTTTAGAAATATTAATTAATTTGTTGAAATACACACCTTTTGATAGGTTAGCCCGTTTAATGAGCGCGTAATATACAGTGCAATACGCGCTCATTATAGTCGCCGCCTCAGCCATAGACCAGTGGTCGGGAATGGGAGTCATGTGAGTGATGGGCGCGTAAACACTTGTGGCCAGACATCGGTTCAAAGCCATACCCATCACGCGCTCGCCGGTGTCCGCCCGACGGCCCACATATTCGCTGCCCAACAAGCAATCGGTAAACAATGTATTCATACCAGTAGGTATACGATCTAAATGTATAAATATATTATTTATTTTAATAACATTGATGAGATATTAATATTAATTTCATAATTATATTATTTAGATTGACAATATACCTGTTACCATCATGACGTCAATAAACGATAGGCCCGAGAAATAAACATTGACCATTGTAAAATCCATCTTGTTATTAAAATGGTAATCAATTTGCGGTACTTTTCGGGCGTCAAAAAGTTGCAAATTCAACATATCATCCGATTGTCCTTTATTTAAATAATAATCATTTGATTGGCATTTATCGTAATCTTCAGTTAATTTAAAGCGCTTATAAGTGCCCACAACTCCATCTTTGATAACATTGGCCGATAAATTGTTGGCCAATATTTGTGAATATAGTTTGGTATTAAAATCAATGGCATTGTTATTATTATTATCGTAATGAAAAATATATCGCAATTTCTCTCCTCCCGGCTCTAAACGCAAACAATTCATTAAACCAATGATACCATTGATTGTGCCCTCGTTTCCCATAAGCCACACGTTATTGCAATCATTATTTGGTTTATTCACCGAAATTATCTTTTCTTTTAAAATTGGAAACCATTTTATATAATCTTGTGTTATATTAATTATATTATCATTTGTAGGAATTTCAGCTATTGTGTCAACTCTTCTGAACAATAGGACAGCGTTTCCTATTGTGTCATATTTTGTGGCAATTATTTTGAAACCAATTTTAGCCGAAACTGATTGAAACGCTTTGAGACGTGAATCCAAATCATTATTTGTGACACAATTTGTTGTTGTATTCAATGAATTGAATACAATCTCCGGTTCCGTAAACTTATAACGAAATGCCGTTAATAAGAATCCATTGTTTTCTATGGAGTCATACAAGTCTTGAATAAACGCATTCAAATCCAATGGCCATAAGTCTTGTGAGTCTCTCATTATAACCAAATGCGATGGCGTTAGACATAAGGCACCGGTACTCGGATCCCAACCCTTAAGTCGATCGCCGTATTTATCAGAAAACTGTTTATTATTATTGTTAACAATCAATTGATAATTTGTATTGAGTGTATTCATACGAAATCTTTTTACAAATTTTTCCACATGATCAATTAACAAACAATTGGTTAAATTAACTTCGGTCACATTAATTTCTGTAATATTTCCATAGTTTTCGCAAACCATTTCCACAACACATCAAAACAATCGGTCATTATTTTGAATTTGATTTATAATATCTGCACTTAAATCGTATTCCGGTTTTGCAATCATTTTATTAAATATGTTATCTATATTTAGTTTGTTATCATTAATGTTGTCATTCGTGTCCACCATTTGTCCAATAATTGTGTTATAAATACGAAACAACACATGATTTTTATTGTTCGCATTTTTATACTCTTGTATTGCATTTTCGTCGATATATTTGTAATTAAAATCGCATTTCAATTCATTGACACCCAATTGGCGTATTTTCACTGCCATTGCTTTACACACCTATTCACACAAATGCATATAAATTTAAAGTGATTACAATGGGGTAAACAATTTCTACATTCATAAATTGCATTGAATGCTATGCCGGCGACAAACCTCAATATAGTGCAACATCTCTGCGCGCGCCGACACATCGATGGCCGTCATATCATTGTTGGCACAAAAGTCATACGAGTCGAGCGTTAGGTTTGTATCAAAACGGGTGCCCAATATCTGGCCGGAAGTCCTCTCTATTTCGATGCCCGGCGTCACCAAAAAGCCGGTGTCGGCGTCGTATCGGAACGGCAGGTGCGCCGAGAACTTGGCAAACTTCTCGTTGAAACGCGTGACCGAGTTATTATCATGATCGGAAAGATTCTGGGATTGCAATTAAAATCAATGTAAAATCAACGGCTATTTTAAAAAAGGCAACGTTAGACAATTCCGGGTGGACATTGACTAAATATATTTGATTTCAAATAATTTTAAAATATATTATTATTATAATATAATATATATTATAAAAAATATATCAAATAATATACTCAAACTCTCGTCGGGGTAATACCCTTAGCTCTCGATAATTTCACACAATTGGGACCGTAGAAATAAGGGTGTGAATTTATAGAATGTGAACATATAGAAAGAATTTTATTGAAGTTATTGTGGTAAATAATGCGATCTATGTTAACAAAAAGTTGTCTCACATCAAACATCCAAATACGACTGTTTCTACGGTTTAATTTTTGCACAATTTTTCATTTAATTCATTTTAATCGCTGTTAAAGACAAATGTATCCGCTTTTAGCACTCATTATTATTTCGTAAAATCAATTGTGAATTTAGGGAATGTGAAATACATTATAAAAAACATAAACATTAGACTATTTGACGTGAAAGTAATGAGATAAATATTTTATATTTGTTTATCAATTTAAATAAAACTTTTCAAATCATGGCAAGACAAGGATAATTGTCTCATACCATAAAACACTATAAAATGCGTAAAAATAGTAAAATATTAACAAAAAATAGCAAAATGTTGGCTACTATGTCAAAGATTCACTATATTGAGAGTCACTATATTAAGCTTAAATAGCATTACAGGTATTCAGTGACCGCCAAACAAAAATATTTTGTACACTATATTGAAAGTATTGTGTAAATAATGATTATTTTGTAAATAAAATTACCTCGACGTGTTGAGCATGATTACCATCGGTAGTGACGGCTGATTGGCCGTCAGATCGTTCGGCTCGTACGGCGGCCAACAGAATGCGGGGGTCGACGCGCAGACGGTTTATAATCACGGGCACCGTTGCCGCCCTAACCGGCCAGTGAAGTCCGGTGGCCAGCATCAGGCCATCCAAATAAGTGACAGGATTGCCGGTCCACTCGCACCGGCCGTAAAAAGTGCAAAAGTCGTCGGTACTGATCGAGTCCAGGCGCTGAAAGGCCGACTTGTGCTCTATGCCTATCGCGTGTACCGACGCGTATATATCGCTGCGTTGAATGGTGTGACGCCTGCCATCGACGAGTGGACGCCAGTCGCTGATCGAGTCCTGAGCGCTAAGTACGGACCCGTCGGTGCCGTAGTCGTCGGTACCGGACGGCACCGGACGCACGCGACACGTGACGCATAAATCATCATTTTCTCGTATTGATAAATCGCCTGCATATTAATAAATAAGATTAAACAATGTTAGTAAGTAATTATACTTAAAATCGTTTTTAGTATAAAATAATATCTATGGAAAACTATTCAAAATTTAGAATTTTTAGTGTAATTAAATAAATAATAAATAATAGTTATTAAATTACTAAATAAGTATATTATATACATACCGGTTAGTACATTGTATCTAATACGGAGGCACGTGTCCGCGTTATCTGATAATAATACGGCCCGCTTAAAGTGCACCTTTTCAAATACTACGGGACACTCTGACCACAGTTTGCCAACACTGGCGGCCGCTTTACGCCACGCCATCATTAGATGCCCAGTTGCCGGTACTATGGCTTTGCCCTGTACCACGTGATCCATATAAAATTTATCCTCGTTTAGTTTGTGACTGATTGTAAATAATGTGTCTGACGCGTTGGCTTTGCAATAGGTATCATGATAGTTGTTAACGTAATATTGTTTGCTGTGATCCCATTTGATTAGCGATGATATGGACGGTGTATTCCTGGCCACCGGCCACTCGACCGGAGGGTAAAGCCGATCGATGGCCAGATTAAAGCCCAGTTCGTAAAGTTGTGCCAAACCGGACAAAAACATATCCATATTTGTGGCGTTTGAGTCCTTTTTAATGAGCGATATATACGTAGACTTCGGTAGTGTTTCGGACACTATCTGTTTGAACACTGAATGCGGGCCCAACTCGAGCACAATGGCGTCGGCGGGCAGTGTCTGAAACTGGTCGTGAAAGCGGACCTCATTTACCATATTGTACTCAAAATAATCTCCGTTTAGATATTCAAGCCGTTTGTCTTCGGGCTCCGATCTGAACACCGAAGTAGACAACCATTTCCCTGATCTGAGCTTATGATTGGGTGCGTATGTATTGATGGCTTCTTTCATAGCTTTCGCCGATTCGCTAATATATGGCGAATGGTATGGGATTTCATCGCAATCTAATGGCCGCACGAATACACCCTTTGCTTTCAATTGTTTTATAATTTCCAGCATATGTTTCATTGGACCTAAATGTATGATATATTTAATATATTATATTGCATTTATTTTATTTATCAAGCAACTATTTAAGTAATATAAATAATAAAATACATGATTACCAGTAATGACTACATTTTCCTTCCCATTATTACAGGCAATATATACACCGTTTGGACAGTATTGCAACGCCTGGGTTCTGGACAAACCAACGACTACCATTAAGCCTTTGGGTATATCTGCGTTTTGCACACTATTTATGGCGCGAAGGGCCGTATAAAACATGGCACCCCTCACGTCAAGGCATCCGTCGGCAAAAGCGCAGGCAATCTCACCAAATGAGTGCCCAATTATGCCGTCGGGAGTGATGTCCAGGTCTTTGATGACCGCAAACAACGCGATCTCTATAGCAGTTGTGGCCACAAATTTGGCGGTCATCGTAGAGATGGCTGTCTTGTCCTCCGATAGTAATATGTGTTTCAAATCAATGCCAAACTCTTTGTCCAATATTTGATGACATTCTTCTATAGTGTCGGCGAATGTCTTGATTGGCATCAAAGCCTTAGCCATTGCCGACCACTGGCCACCCAATCCCGGGAACAGTACCCATAGAGGTCGACGTGTTTTGTCAGTCAAAACTATCATCTGTTTATTATTAACATATTTTATTTTTCCATTTAGTTCTTCTGAAATTGACTTCATTATAATTGAGCCTAAAATATATAAAACAATTAATTTAATTTTAAAATATAAATAGTGTTCATATGAACCCCTGAACGTCATTCCCGATGAGTTAACATTTGGAGTATATTTCATAGTTTGCGCCAAAAGTGCCAAAAAATCATTAGTTATTTTTTTTGGGATTATTTTCAATAAAATCCATTATATATTTGACGGACTCTTCACTTCTGCCGCAAATGTTGACAATTCTGGGCATAATATCGGCCACATTCTGGTGACCATTACTTGTGGCCAACTTATAGTTGGGTTCGAGCAATACGTGTGCGTTCGCACCGCCGACACCGAAACTGTTCACCGCTGCCAAACCTATTAGTATTTTAATATTTATAATATATATTATCTTATAACTATATAATATTATTTTCTTATATATAGATATTATCTTATAACTAATTAAAATCATTTGTAGAGCCAACAGAATAGGGCTTTAAGCAGGCTAATAATATAAATATAAATGTTGGTCATAATCATTTGTATCCATTAGTAATTAAAATATTAGTGCCGGTGCCGAGGTACCGGCACCAATTGATTTAATATTTTTAGCATTTTTAACTATAATTAAATTAAAGTCGCATAGAATTCTGGGATAGGTATTTTTGCGGTTAATTAGTAATGACAAATAAATTAGGGTTTATGTTGCTTACCTGGTTTATAATAATGAGACTTCACTACAGGCAAAAGTGGCGGAACAAGTGGCGCAATTTCGGCGTGCAAAGTGCCTAGATTAATATTGGGTGGAATGCATTCGTTTTCATAGGCAATGAGTACTTTGATAAGTGCGGCCAAACCGGAGGCGCCCTCCGCGTGACCCATATTACTCTTCAATGACCGAATAGGTAACTGCTCCGTACGGGCCGTCGGTTTGCAATACGCGTTGTAAACGGCGTTCACTTCTCTAAAATCACCGGCCTTTATATTAAATATAAACATGTAAATAAACATAAAAATAAACAAGCATATAAAATTAAGCACAATTTTATTTAAAAATTATTTATTGACAAACTATATCAGTTTGAGAAAATTGCATACTAAAACTAAACAACAATGCTATAACATTAGTTGTATCGGCCCTAACCTGAGTGCCGGCGCTGTGTAACTCCACTAATGACAGTTCGCTGGGATCGATGCCGGCGTCGGCGTACGTCCGGCGCATCAGTGACTCCTGTGCGTCACTGGAGGGCTGATACATGCCATCTTTTTTGGCCCCATCAACGTTCAATCGCACCGCTCGCACAGTGCCGTACACACGCCGGGCGTCCGGCCGGCGCTGCAACAGCACAGCGCACACGGCGTCCGACTTGACGTAACCGTCGGCTCCGGAGTCAAACGGCGCGGACACACCCCGTGGCGAACAAACGCCCTGCACTTGTTGGCACTGGTATATTATGGGTTCTAGCCATACATTTGACGCGCATACTATAGCGTTGTCCACGTGACCTGTCAACATAGATATAAAGAATGTTTGCCATTTAATTATTATATAAATGAAATAAAATCAATTGGAATCAACTCTATATTTCTTATTGTTAGACAAATTATATGATAATTTAGAATTGTCACATATTTTGTATAACTTATCACGTGATCAAAATCTCAAAGTAGGGTATTCATAAAAACTAGCGTATATTGCACACTTAAATACAGTTTTACAGAATCGGATTATCTGTTATAGTTTATTAGTAATCGGCATAACCGCATGTGCGATATATAATGACTGCCACTTTACATTATATTAATATTATTCTATTGCAGTTTACCATTCTCCTTCTTTCTCTCTCTCTCTCTCTCTCTCTCTCCCTCCCTCTCTCTCTCACTCACTCTTACACTCACTCACCCAAAAGCATGTCGTTGTAGGCGAGCGCTAACGTCGACAAACTGCTGGAGCAGGCGGTGTCACATGAGATGGACGGCCCGTGAAAATCATACACAAATGATATCCTATTAGCGAACATGAAATTCTTATGGCCGAGCACTTTGTTCAGAGTCGCATTGACAGAGTTAGTCAAATCGGGATAGGCGTCATCGGGCAGACCGGAGTTCCCATTTGTGCCGCCAAAGTATACGCCGGTGTTGGTGCCGCGCAATTGTTGCGGCTGTAGACCTATTAAATAAACAATAAATATTATAACAATTACTTTCAAACTGTATAACTAATAGCATTACTAAAAATAAATTATATTATATTCAATTGCAACTGACCGGCGTCGACGATGGCCTCGTAGACCACTTCCAATAGCATACGGATCTGTGGGTCCATCAGATCGGCGCCCAATTGGCCGAAGAACGCGGCGTCGAAGCGGTCGCAGCTCTCGATCGCACCCATCCGTGAGTTCACACCAAATAGATCTAAATATTACATAGTCAATTTTAATTAATATATAATATTTAATTAATTTTAATTAAATACCTTTTGGCCACCGGTTGTGGTCATCGGTAACCAAATCGCGGCCTTCGTATAGATTTCTGGCGAATTCGTCGATAGTGTCAGACATCGGGAATCGCCCCGACATTCCGCTGATCACTATATCCCTGGGCTTACACTTACAAAACATTTTTTCTAGATTAATGTAAAAACAAAAAATAGCACTTGTAATGTTCAACAGTAATTGAATTTTTTTAATAAGTAAAAAATTAAAAAAAACTCACATATTTATACTAATGATGATTTATACTAATTGCATTATATAATGTAATTTATGTTATATGATAAAAATCATAGCAAAATTATACGATTATATTAAATTGATGATATCAAATGAAGTAATTAACACATTTATTCAATAAAAATGTTTTAAAAAGATTATTATATTAAATAAAATGATCACGTATTAATTAACTAAACAAGGTTCACACAACGATGCTATACGTTAATCATCATTCGGGTTGTGCTCGAAGAGTAGATTAACACTTACTATAGATTTAATGTGAGTACAATAGACTTGTCATAAACTTAGCACTAATTTAATAAAGTTAACATGCATTAGTCTCATACGATTAATATTTTTTTTATAAGATTAACATTAGTTTAATAGATTTAACAGTATTCATAAGATTAGAATTAGATCTATATACTTATCGTTGTCCATAGACTTAGCATTACCCATGTTAACCTTTTGTCATAGACTTAACACTGTCCATAAACTTAGCATTAGTTCCATAGACTTAACATTATCCATAGATTTAGCATCGCCCTATGTTAAACCTATGTCGTAGACTTAAGCAATAATCCTATAGAAGCCCATGTTAAAGCATACTCCCATAGATTAATCATTGTCCATAAGATTGGCATTACCATAGATTTAACATTAGATCCATAGACGTAGCATTGTCCATAGACTCAGCATTGTTCATAAAATTAACATTAAGTCCCTAGGATTAGCATTGCCGAAGCCTTAGCATTATCCATATTAAACTAATGCCATAAACCTATGTTAAAGTTTAGCTATAGACTTATTCTGTAATTCTCATGTTAATTCACATAAAGCGGTGGAGCCGGGAGGGGGCAAAACAAATTTATAAACTACATTATACATAGCTGAATTGTGGTTAAAAATATTTTTCATTATTAATGAAAAATAAAATTCTTGTTAAACTCTAATAGTTATTAAGAGTCTAAATTCGGTTAAAATTATTATCAAGGACTTTAGGAAAATTTTTTATAATAATTTAAAAATACAGTCAAAACAAATACTAGTTTTCATGCAGTCTATGTGTGTGGCACCAGAGATATACTGTGCAGCAGCACGTGATAGTTATTGAATGTAAATTCTAACTAAAATAATAATAGGTTAGCATATACAGATCAAATAAGAATATGCATACTAGATTAAATGCTACGAAAATTATATAAAATAAATTTAGCGGCTTATCTCAGGACCAAAAAATGTAGAAATTCTTGCACATTGAATTAAGAATATTACTTTTATGTGAGTAATAAAGTGAATAATGTAACCAAGGTCAAAAAACAATATATAATCCCATAAACCTGACCTCAGTTTTATTGGTCAGACATTACTGTTTTAATAATACTTGGTAACCCAGTATAAGATCTATGATAAACATCACTTTACTTTCTATTAAATGGGTAAACATATTTTTAGCAATTAAACCCACTTTAAAGTTGATTATATATCATCTACTTAAATAAGAATGATATTAAAATAGTATATTAAAATAGCCTTGAAAATAAACAGTGGTGAAATGGGTTTTTGACTTTTTATCAACTGTAATGTGTAATGTTTTTTAATGTTTTTCTATGAGCTGTTTGATTAAAAAATTAATACAATTAAAATATTTTTATCACTTTTGTATTTTATTTTAAACATTTTTATGTCTTATTTCAATATCAATGAGAAATATTAAATAGTTGACCTCCACTCATGCCTCCCAAAGTGAATGCCATTACTTAAAAAGTACATAGATGTGTTTTATATGCCCTAAACTCTCTACATAACACAATTAAATTAAAATTGGAGTCGGGCATCGGAAATATGGGCATTGTTATCTAATCGGCCAATAATGTTATGCGCCTCGGGAATTCTTATAACTCTTATACAAAATGAGCTAGATCAAATCTGTAAAAAGTATAATAGAGTTCCATATATCTAGTTTTTTGTATCAAAAAATTATTGAGATCACGTGATTAGAACCCAAAAATTTTCGGGTCAAATCGATTGGTCCCGGTTTCTGTAAAACTGGCGGGGGTCGGAAGGGGCGGGCATGCTATTCTGTAGAGGAGATGTCAGAGTACAATAATAACTTAAAACCACCTTTGTCGGATTGCAGGATTTCACACAGCAGTTAACCAAACTATCGAAATGTTTGCATGTAAACCTATGGGACTGAAAACAAATATTATATTTAAACATTATTTACTATATTATTTAATACTATACTAAATGCTAATAAGGTTAGTAAAAAAATTTTGAAAAATTCTATGCCATTGGCAAAATATCGTAAATTGAACTTTTTGTTTTGATGGTTAAAACTCGATATTTAAATTTACGATATTTTGCCAATGGTATAGAATTTTTCAAAAAATATAAATAAAAAATATTTTAATTATATTAATTTTTTTAAAATGCAAGACTAGTGTTTGCAAAGAAACTAACAATTCTATCCGAGTTTGACGTTAAGATTCGAAGAAATAAATTTTCATTCAGTGTTTAAGTCAGGTAATTGTTAAAAAAGATTTTTAACTAAACATGATATTTATTGTATTTTGAAAATCTTTCAAACATGAATCACAAATGCCATTACATTTGTTTTAAAATATTACTCATTTTACACAACATATTAATTAAAATAAGTAAATTTATTAAATTACACAATCCACTACTCGCAGTACTTAGTCACTATATATGTGAATACATACTATTTTAACAATTTTACGATCTACACATATACCGATCGATTACTACATTATTTGGCAACATTTTTCTAATTGACATCATTAGAATTGAGTTACCTAGTCAAATGTAATTTGCGTTTCTTTTACGGAACCTTATAGATTGTTTGTCTGTATGTTAATACATTGTGCTCGAGATTAATTGACAGCCTATTTGCACGTTACAAATATGATATAGCTTGTTTTGTTAGGTGATAATCAAAAATCCGCTAGGAAATACTTTATAATGGACTAGATTTAAAAAACAAAATCTGCAAAACGGTTTGGCTTGTTAATTGTTTTGTTATAACGCAAAAAATAAATATTAGTTTTAATTACAATCGTAAACATATTTTTACAAATTTAACAGTTGCATTTTGTGTGGAATTGTGAAAAGTAATATTGGTGTGAATAACCTTATTAAATCAAAATCATTTTATAGAATATAAAATACAACACTATATAACATTGTTCGTATAGATTTATTAATATATAAAGTTTATTTATAAAATATACTTAGATTTACAAATAAACATGAATAATAATTATATATAAATATAATTTTAAATCTTAACTTAATTGTATAGATATTTAATATCCAAAACAATTACCTAAAACAGAATGAATAATAATGTTATTAATAATGTCTTTATATCATTTGTGGTTATAATGTGTGACATTTATCTTTTTATTGTTTGTCGTAAGAATACAAATGTTGATAATTTTTGTATGTGTTATTTATTTAAAAAAAAGTAATATGTTAAACATATAATAGAGGTAAACCCCGTGGTACATTTGGATAACTATACATTTGTTGGCGTTGTGTCTCAAATATCAACCGCTAGTCTCAATATTAATCAAACAATGGCCACCAATACTGCAACTGTTCCTATATATAGCTTTAAGGTAATAATTATTTTTAATTATTTAATTTATAATTATTTTTCATTGGATATAATTTTACGAGAATATTTAAGCTATCACTTGCTGCTCAATGTTGACCACTTATTGTAAATTATAAGTTTGACAAAGAAAATTCAACTAATACGAGCTATAATTTATTATTATCTAGTATAATCACAATTATATACCGGTAATAGATATTTGTGTAATCTAGGGCATACCATTTGGTCAGCCTCCGGTAGGGGCGCTGCGATTCATGCCCACTGTACCCATAAGTTACGCCCAGAATCGTACGTTTATGGCCACACAATTTGCCAACACGTGTCCGAACCCGTTCAACCCGGCCAACGTCACCGAGGATTGTCTGTACCTAAACGTATGGACACCCACACTAACACCGGGCGCCAATTTGAGCGTGATGTTTTGGATATATGGAAGTGGGTTCACCTGGTGGGGCACCAATATGTTTGACGGTCAACAGTTGGCTATCAGGCAAGTAGTGGTGGTTACCGTTGCATATAGGTTGGGTGCGTTTGGGTGGCTATGCACCGATCGGGCAGACGCGCCCGGCAATATGGGCCTATATGATCAGTTAACTGGCTTACAGTGGACTGTAAAGTATATTTCACAATTTGGCGGTAATTCTAACGATATTACTGTATTCGGACAAAGCTCTGGCAGTATTTCAATTAGCGCTCATATATTAACAAATATGACAAACTTATATTTCAACAAGGCAATTTTACAATCAGGTAAGCGGTATAATTTAATTCAAACAATGTTCACACAGCAATGCTATACGTTAGCCACAATTGGGGTATTGCTTAAAGAATAGATTAGCATTACCTACACATTCAATATGAGTCCATAGTATTGGCACTTCACATAGACTTAGCATTGTTCATAAAACATAAGTATTATAGGATTAGCATTAGCCCATAAATTTAGCATTGCCTATGTCAAGCTTATGTTATATATAATGAACGGCATTGCCCACGTTTGAAAAATATCTTCCAGGAAAATAGTTTTGCGCCGGAAAATTCTTTATATTCCTTAAAATTGGGAAAATAAGACAAAAATGTGGCCAAACGATGACCAATCGGTGAATTTAAATACTTTTATCGTATTTATAAAATGTGCCCTAACATGTTTAAACATTAGAGAGGAAGATTTGGTAAAATCTATTTAATTAATTTAATTTAAATCAATTTGTAAATTATTTTTAAATCAAAATTTGATAATTGCGCTCAAATGATCACGTAATGCTATATGAGTACTCTTGTGTTAACTCACCTCTAGGGGGCTAGACGACTTTCTAATCCCCCCGAAACGACAAATAGCCCAAGCCTTTCCCATAAGTAATAACGAAGGGCTGGGCATGCGTCAAAACGCATGCGCCAACTTACCTCAAGTGTATGTATGAGTGACAATAAATTCTTTGTTATTCATCAAAAACATTATAAAAGTAATTGATTACTATTTAAAATATAATTATTTTTATAAATTTTAATACTTTTAATACTATTTATACATAAAAATAGTTAAAATAATCAAAATTATTAAAAATATTTTCCCCTTGTTCGGCATTTCCCTGATTCACTTTTTATTTTCCGTAGTTTCCCTCTATTTTCCGTCTCGGCAACATGGGAATCTATAGAATTTTAAAAATCTGCCGTACATTAGTTATATACATATGCTGTAATTTCACAGAAACCCTGTAGACATTGTAAAAGTTTGTTGACTTAATAATGAATTGTTAAATTTTAACAAACTATCTAATATACATCGTTTATGATATCGTTTGTGATATTATCATTATAATTGAAAAAATATAAGGTGAAACATTTTTAGAAGTATCCTCATTTTCTTGTAGGTGTTTTAATTAATAGAGATCTAAATTATGAAGTTCGTTGATTTACCACTAATTATTTCAAATGTTACTCTTTTCTATTGAAAATTATAAAACACATATTTGGTTATATTTTGTTCCTAGCAAGTTCATACACAGCGATAGACATTTTAAATAATTAAGAATTACCTAAAATGCACGTATTAATAAATTGTTAAATAAAAGGTTTTCCATCTGATATTTTATAGATAAATTATCATGTTATTATCAATATACAATTGTATAGGTACAATTTTATCACCAAGCTATAGTAATGTACAAAACGGTGTGGCGACCGCCAAACGGTACGCCGCGTACGTCGGGTGCGACCCGAATGGCGATTACTTGGGTTGTCTGCGGGCCATACCGGCCGCCCAACTGTTGGCCGCCCAGACATCGGCGCCCATATGGAATCAAGCGGGCGGTCAGCCGATCCAATTGTACGCCGATGGCGCACCATTTACCATATGCTACGGCACAAACTTTCTGCCCTCTGATCCGCTAACGTTGCTAAAAACGCCCGCTTTTCGGCCCGATCTGCGCGTTATGATAGGCCACGTGTACAACGAAGACGTGGTGTTTGGCGCGGGCGTCAACCTAGTAGCGCCGGTTATGGGCCGATACGTGGGCCAAGTGAGAGGCGCGCTCACCAACCGTCGATTGGCCATCGCTAATATCATGACGGTGTTTGTGAACACTGGGTTCGGCCCGACGCTGGCCGCCCAATACACGGCGTTCAACGCGACGGCACCGGCGTTGGCCAACAGTACGCGCATTAACGCCGCACTGAGGGCTACTGTGATGCATGCGCTGAGCGATTACTTGTTCGTCTGTCCCACGGTGCTTTTTGGCCAGTATTTGACCCAGTATTCAAACTTTGCCGTCCCAGTCAACCAATATTATTTGCGTTACGCCAATAGCCAATCGCCGTGCTATGGAAGCGATTGGTGTCTGGGCGCCACCCATTTGGATGATATACCCCTAGTATTTGGCCGGCCTTTTTACCAGACTGGTTTTACTGACACGGATCGATTTATGAGCGCTACAGTTATGAATATATGGACCATGTTTGCTAAAACTGGGTATATGATTATTATTATTTACCTTCTCAAAATACCTGTTTCCTCGGCGATTTGAAAATCTCATAAACAAACTAAAAATTTTAAGTTTTTTAAATATATAACATGTACCGTATTTATTTGTCTAGTTCTTACCCAAAATTCAACTATTAATAATGTGGTTTATAAGATCGTTTGTCCTTAGGCCACAAAATGCCAATCATAAATATACCCAATTTAAAGAAATTTTATAACCATAAACGTAAGCTTTAATCCGGTATTAGACATTTACAAGAAACGGACATGGTGTCGAAGTCCCGTGAACCGTATTTGTTCATACTGAATTTAAATTTAAAACAAAAATTTATTGTGACTTAAAAAGGATTTACAAATACTGCAATGTATTTAAAAGCTAAAAATCCTACTACAATATAGTTTAGGATTAGATGAAACCATCCAGTTTTAAAATTTAGGCTAACAGGCATATTTGGCTTATATAATTACCACAATTAGATAAAGAATTTGATTTTACAGTTTTAATTTTTGCGCCAGTATTATGAAGATATTATATTTATAATATTTTACTTTACTCATAATAAATAGACATAAATACCATATTCTACTTTATATTACTATTAATTTTGCAAATTAATTAATGTGTAAAGTGAAATGATTGAAAATCTGAATAAAAATAATAGTAAATCTATATTTTAGTAGCATTTTTAACTCTTAAATACATTGTCAGTATTTGTAAATCCCTTTTTAAACAATTATAGAGTGGTCCCAGCTGTAAATAACCGCCAATGGATGCCTTACACCTCGTTGACCGGCGGCGGTGTTAGTCTTAATTTCATGCTATTATCGGCTAATTCAACACATTTGGGCACAATTTACACCAACAAATACACCGGTAATAATGGCTTTAGTATACCAGCCATACAGAATTGCAAGAATATATGGAACCAATTAATAATGCAGCATTTTTCTCAATAAATATATTAAATTATTTTATTATAAAGTATTATTATAATATTAATAATTATTTTAAAAATATAATATCAATTCGTTTGCATTAAAATTATAAAATTTTTGTTACTGGGCAAAATGCCAAAAATTGCATATAAAAAATATAATAATTTTTTGTTTTATTAAAATAATTATCATTGTAAACATAATTAAAATTAATATAAATGGTGGACCATAATTAGATTATTCGTCATACAAAACGTGCACGACAGATATTCAATTTATTGTGTAACTTTTTAGTTATGTAACAATTTATTGAGGAATTCCTTTGTAATTCTATTCCTCTTATCCATAAAAACTTGAATATGTTAAGGACTAACATATTAAAAATACACCACCATGTATCATTATATCAAAAAATTATTTCATTTAACACAACCTTCACATATAATATCGGTCACCGACTGTGTGTATGATCTTGCACACCTATCAGTCCATACATCAATGCGATAGCACTTGTTTTTAAAGTTTTTTATAATCATAATAATTAGTATAGTATTAAAAGTTATCATTAAATCTTTTATTAAATTTTACTAGTTGGAAAATTTTTAATTGATTAAATCGTGATCATTTTTTAAACCACGATATTATTGAATTAATAAACCTGAATTTATTGCACAAATCTGTTAATAGTCTATATTTTAACTTTTAACACAAAAGTACATAAGTATTTTTGTTATTACGCATACTAACGTCTCTCTCTCTCTCTCTCTCTCTCTCTCTCTCAAATAGGAGAGAACAGCTCAGAGATAACTATTATCTCATCCATCGATAAACAC